AACCCGAACGTGCAACGTGCGGCCACAAAGGAAAGATTCGATCCATCGAACTATAAGATGGTAAACTCCGAGAGATTCCAGCTTTTGAATTAACTTTCCGTGTGGTACTCTATCGAAGGCCTTTGCAAAATCAAAATATATAACATGAACACGCTTTCTAGAGTCGAGGGCTCTGGACCAGTCATTGAGAGAAGAAAGCAGAGCAGTTTCTATTGATTTTCCGGCCCTAAAACCATGCTGGCAGGAAGGGATTATGTTGTGAAGTTCAAAGTATTCTGTCAGTCTGAGCTTTACTATCTTTTCGAAAAGCCTCGAAAAAATTGAAGTGATACTTATCGGCCGATAGCTCGCAGGACTACTGAAAGGAGGTTTTTTGGGGATGGGAACTATGAAGGAATGTTTCCACCGAGATGGAACTTCCGATCGTATGTATGAAAGGTTGAACAGAAGTTCCAAGGGGAAGGCAATGTGAAATGCAATTTTTTTTGATGAACTTAAGAGGGAGGAAATCTGAGGTGACCGAGTGTGAGTCTGGCCATTGGGTTAATAACTCATAAACTTCTTCTTATCACTATTTTTATCATTGATTGCATCATGTATATCATTCGGGAACTTTGAATGCCGAAGTGTCCCTATACTTTTGGGACGCCATGATTTTAGAAAAAAAATTACAGAAATTCTAAAGGATTTTTCTTTCCAATTTCACTTATATATTTGTACCGTGTTGTAGATGCATTGTTGATAAAATTTTGGAGAGAAATCATTGACTCATTATAGAGCTATTGAAGAAAAATAGGGTGTCTCTGTAGTTTTTGGGACACACTGTGGAGATGTTGAAGCAGAGTCAGCCTTAGCGTTGGTACTTTTTTCTACAGTTCTTGACCCTGACGATGAGACCAATCAGCACATCCGACACTGCCCCTTTCACTTTCACTCACCATAGCCGTCCAAAGGAGGGATCATGGAGATGGTGGAGGGGAGGAGGAATACGGCCGAAGAAACTGGTAAAGTTCTTATTTTTAGGTTTTCAAGGCCCGTCAAAACTGGTCAAAAATGTCGATGGGAGCTAATGAAAAGGGTGTTTTGGGAAATGGGCCTGTACTGACAAAAGGTGCATCCGTGTCACAGAGCACCCTGGGAGCTTATAGACATACAGAGCACCAACATTACCGTGTCCTCAGTAGACTTTCTCGATAAAGGTGACATCCCCAAGTGATAGCACGAACTCTTAGATGGTCGTCCCTAAAACCCATCCAGAAAGCCTCCTTAGTCTTTTCCTGGAGTTTTCATCTATCTTTTAAAAGAGTCGCTTAACAACGAGTAAAACAGGCGTGATGCTACGGTAGCCGCACGCTGTACGCAGTTGCACCATCCACTCGAAGTACGGCGTTACTCAGAGTTGACGAAAATCGAAATCAATGAAAAAAAGGTTCAATGCAAATTGATTCAGTTCACTCTGCTCTCCGAACCTTTTGGACGTTTTGCCTGTTTATTATTTCGCTTGTTTGATTATACGCCAATTCTCCTCGCTTTTTTCTCACATTCGGCCAATCGTTGATACGTATCGTTTTCTTTTTGCTTATACTTCTAGTTGCTTGAGTTTCTGTCAGTGAAAAATACCTAGATTGGAGTTTTTCCAAGTGTCGTTGATTTGATCAGTCTACCAGACGAATCAGCATAAAGTTGCAACTACTAAAATCCACTACTCATCACTTTGAGCGACTACTCATCAATAAGAGAGCATCGGTCTCCGAATTCAGTTTCCCGTTCTTTCGTCGTGTGTCCGTCTTCTGAGCGTACTCGTTGACTAATGGTGTAAACGCATTTCGCAATTCTCCGTATTTCTATCAGTTTGACTTAGCTCGCGTCTGATTCAAATAAGAGGGGAATTTTGGCGCAGAGCACTTAAGGCTTTTAGATCTCATTGGAACATCTTCATCCATTACACTATCCTAATCTCAAGGAAGGTCCGAAATTATTTGCTGGAATGAGCTTGTTCAATGCCTGGGTAGCGAAATGTCACTCGTTTTTGGCGCTGCACTAGTTCGCACAGATTTCGCACTCAGTCTTTTCCTCCACATTCGGTAAAATCTTGCTTATGAAAGTTATGCGTTCTATTCACTATCGTTGATTTGTCGTAGGCGCTGTTTGACACTGGTTCTACGTAATTGGCGTCACACTGCTCCCCCCGTCAAAAAAAAGAATGTCATGTTTGCGTTCACGGCGCTGAATAACCTCTGCAAATGTAGTTTTAGCAAAACATCTTTGGCTCTCCTCGGTGTTGTACTGTACGAATTTCCGATGTTGTAACTGGCATGAAATGCAAGATGAAGAATACCCACTTATTTTCATTTTTGCACAAGCTAATTGGTTCACTACCCCGGAGCCTGCGCGCTCTGCAAAATTCCAATTACTGTAGTCAACAAGAATAACTGCACCAAAATGCCTCCTTTGACTGGTATAGACTATCATCACTTCACGGTATGTGCTTCGCTCGAACAAAGCGGCTTTGCGCTTTTCACATCCCGATTCTTCTTTCGTTGCGGGAATCTTAAATGCACAACTCGGAAGTGGACCTGGGGTCCAGCAGGCGACTTTTTGCGTTGCGAAGGTAGAAAAGTCGTTTTTTTTTGTCCTAGCAAACCACACCCCGCCCTCACTACCTTGCTTTCAGCTATTTTGATAAAAAAAAGGTGAGCTCTCAAATATGAGTGTTCTCTCCTCCTGCATATTTATTCGCTTGTGCAACCTCAAGCAAACGACGGCTATGTTACTTTTCGGCTCAACTAGGTTTCTCGGACGCTTTTTCCGACCCACGTTTTAGGAGATTTGGCGAAGGTATGTGTACATACGTATTGGTCCTGGATTCATCGACTTAACGATTTAGCGATACGCCTAGTCGCCACATTTCTTTCAGCGGAATCGCAGTCTCCTAGAACGAGAGTTGTGAACGCGACCCTACCCCTTAGCGTAGTCTGTTTCTCACACTTAACCCCCCTCCATGGAAAAGTTATGTTAATGTTGTTTTGGTTATATATGTGATCCTGATATAGGTGCCCTTGCCTGGATTCATTTTCTGTTAAGCAATGGGCAATACCGGGCTGCGACCAAGCATCGCATCGGAACAAATTTTGGGGCGCTCATGACTTGGGAGGGGGGGGGGTATTCAAAACAGGCAGTAAAAACGCAACAGTTATTCGTTTCATAACTCAGAATTAAGCTTTAGGAGGACAGGGGGTTCTGGGTGAGGGTGTGAGCAACTTTTCTTCTCCCTTTAGTTTCTCCCATCTCCTAAACTTAGTTCTAGGATCATCCACCATCACAATATCTCCTCCCAGGTCATGTGCCCCAATTTTGAAGATGACGACGCTCCTCTCTTTGAAGGGTTTCTAAGCCGCCCTCCTTCAGCGATCGATGCTGTCTCCACGTGTCCTTGTATTATTGCATCTAGTTCATCTTGGCAGACTTCGATGCTCCGCCCTCAGTCTGTCAGGCGCAGAAGGGCAAAGTGGGTTCATATATTTGGAGAAATGGCAAAATTCTCCAAATCTCTCCAAATTTTGCAAACGTGCTTCCTTGAGACTTTGCTTCCTCCCATACATCTTCAAAATCTGGCTTTCTCCTCTAGAGTCACGAATTAGGCTCATCCCCTCGTTGGCAAATTAACAAGGATGGTTAACCATGGCTGCAACCTCGACACGCATTATTCCTTCTTCTAGTAGTGTGTGTCTTGCCAAATACCTTGAACACGTACGTACTATGCAGTTCTTAAATCACAGGTGAGTCTGTTACAAAGCTTTTATCTCACGAGAAATTAAGGCACCATCGTAATATACGGGGCATCCTGCAGCCTAATAGAAAGCAGGAATACCGGGAGTGAAACTTACTTATGTACTCTGTTGTCACTCCCCGCCCTCTCCCCCGTCTAGCGCTCAGTCCGTTAACAAAAAGGACCTGCTTCAGGCGGTTTTAAATGTACTAAAGCTACAATGAACTGGGGGTCGGTTCGCTATGGCAGAAAGCGACTTTTCGCGTTTCGCGGCACGAAATATTTTTTGTTGCGGGAACCTTAGGTCCAGCGATGATCATGATGGACCTGGAATTTCTGCAGCGAAAAATGATTTGCGCTGCGAAACGCGAAAAGGTTGCTTTTTGTCTTAGCGAACCACACTAATGCCCAGAGTCAACCCTGCGTTGCGCAGTTCGCAACGGCACGTTGAGAGATCCTCAACGCACGCTGTATGGGCGGAGATACAGACGTGTGAATGTTAGCGCGAGAGAACGTGTCTAATCAGGCGAAACTGCGCAACCTGGCCGTTGAAAACTGCGCAACGCAGGGTTGACTCTGCTTATGCCCCCATATCTTGCGCCGAACATATTGTATATCATGCGTACGTTGGCATATCAGCGTTTCTAATGTAGTCTGCCGTTGTCAGCATCAACTTACATATTGACGTTTCACTTTTTTGACTGCGTAGGAACAACACGTAAATGCGCACGAGAAACTTAAAAGAAAAGCTAGAGATTCTGAGATAAACAGCGCTAGCAGGTTTCTGGGCCTTGTACTGCATAGTTCACTAGAATATGGCTTTCGGATAAATTCAAAAGTCCGAAAAATAATACAGCATGCGGAAAAATATAATCAAGAGATTGTGGATGGATGTCGACCCAAGCGGCCTGCAGCATGTGGTTCGGTATTGGGCCCCGCTGTCGTTGATGTGTCGATTGCATTGTATTCACTCTCTCAAACCAATTTGTGATCTTAGACTGGATTCAACGGAAACGATCCTATCGTGTCGAATAAATACAGGTTTCATTTTCACCGTACGAAATTAAGTTCTAGACATCACTAAGGTTCCCTTTTTGACTTACCCAGCCTACGCCTTTCTGCCCTCGTCTACGCTCTGCAAGGTACACATTAAAAATACTAAAATCTGCCCACTTAATGTGCGTTCAACTCTCTCCTGCTTGGTGGACTAAATATTGAGTGTTTTCAAGGTGGGTACTGTATAACAGGGCGCTCGGCACAATATGTAGATGTGCTGGGACCCGACGCAAGGTTTATGGTGAATTAATGAGCTTCTTTCGCTTTCACGCTGTTCTCCCTAGTTTTTATTATGCAACACATGTGCAGCAATATAATATCATCTAACGGAGAAATTAAGGTATATTGTGTTACTACAACCAAAGTGGGAGTGAGGTTGGGCTTGAAATTGTCACACTGTCTTGGGTTAGCTACCACGCTTGTTATTTCTTTGTTATTTCCTCAGTCACCGGCGTAAAATGATGCTCAGGGTGATGTGCGCACCCCACTTACTTCATCTCGTTGTTACATTACTTTACTCTCCAGTAGCGGAACGAAGGTAGCTTCTGGTGGTTGACATCAGTGAGCGCGCGATCACAAATGCCGCGGTACTCGTCGTGATTCTCATTCTATTACTGTTTAACATCCCTCTGGTTAGATCAACGTACTCTTTCATTCGTCAACTTCCGTTCCGTTAAGGGAATTAGTTGGGAGGGGGAAGGGATGTTTTCGCTTGGACAGAAAGCGACTTTCCTGCTTAAGCAGCGTGAAACTTTTTTCGCCGCGAGATTCCCAGGTCCAATCCTAATCAGCGGTGGACCTGGGGTCCTCGCAGCGATAGAGTTCTCGCACTTCGAAAAGCGGAAAGCTCGCTTTCTGTCTCAGCAAACTACACCAGGAGAGGGAGCAGTCCCTTCCACGGTGCGCAACATATTTACGGTTTCTAAGTTAAGTACTGTCAGTTTGCACCTTCCAGCTCCTCACATATGTCTAGTAAGTCGCTCCGCCCCCTAACTGCCTTCATTCCCCTGACTCACCGATTTCTTGTTTAGCACTGTTTCTTTTCTATTTTTGAATATCGTTGGATCTCTTTTTTATTAGTCTCGAACGTGTCCTTCGGGACAACAATGTTTCTTTTTACCGATGTGCAGGAAACACTGTCTCTTTTGTGTAAAAATCCCAGCACTACGTAATTGAGTGAGGGTCAGTCACCGTCGCGGCGCGCGACATGTTTGCTCCTTTTCGGCAAAATATTGCAGACTTGCACTTTGCACCTTGACAACTGGTTCGCCCTGGCCTTTCCCTAC